AATTTCTCTCAGAAAATCAGGAATGGAACATTTCCAACTCACTCTGTGAACCCAATATTACTCAGATAATAAAGCCAGTCAAGGGCACCACAGGAAAAAACATACAAACTACAGACCAATATCCCTCAAAAACAGTAAAGAAGGAACAAATAAATTACTGGCACTTAAATCCTTATCTGGTTTTGCTTTTAGGGATGCCCAACTAAGACCCTAGTAGTACTCCAAATTAAAAAGAAGAAAGGAAAAAAGGGATGGGAAAGTTCTTCTGTAAGGGAAATTTGATCAGTAAAGGACATTATGGGGGGAAATTTGGGAAAGCTGAAAATGAACTACATATTAGGGAGTATTACTGATTCAATGTTTAATTTATTGGCTCTATTAAGTTTAGCAGAAAAAATGTTCTTGTTCTTAGGAGATATACAATCTGTGTTTATGGGTGAAGCATCACTATGTCTGTAACTTATTTTCAAGTGATGGGAAAAAATTAAAAAATGAAGCAAGTGAAGAAATAATAATTGGTGGTTCCAGGTAAATGCTGAACATATGTTTATATACTAGCTTTTGACTTCTCTGTTGGTTTATCTTTCTTTAAAAATAAGATTAATTTAAAAAGTGCAAAAATCACAGATACCACTACACACCTACTAAAATAGCTAAAACATAGAAAAATTAAAAACTGGCAATACCAAGTACTGTTGACAATATGGAAAGTTGAACTATCATATACTGCTGGTGGGAATGCAAAATGGCATAGCAAATTTGATAAAGTTGGAAGTTTCTTACAAAGTTAAAAATCATACTTACCATATGATATACTTTGATAAAGTTGGAAGTTTCTTATGAAGTTAAAAAATGTACTTACCCAAAATTCCCACTCCTAGCTGTTTACCAAAGTGACATAAAAACTTAGGTTCACATAAAAACCTATACATGAATGTTTATACTACATGGCTCTCCAATCAACAAAATTATTTGTAATCAACAAAAATGGAAACAATGCAGATATCCCTCAATTGGGAAAGGAAGAGATAAACACACTGTAATGCATCCCTACAATGGAATATTACTCAGCAATATAAAGAGACAAACTACTGATAATGTATAATGACATGGATGAATATTCAATGTATTGTGCTAAGTGAAAGAAGCCAGACTCAAAGGCTATATACGGTATAATTCCATGTGTACGGTGGTCTGAGAAAGGCAGAATTGTAAACACAAAATAGATCAGTAGTTGGGCTGGGGTGGAATGAGGGATTGGCTACAAAGGCATATGAGGAAACTTCCTAGAATTATAGAACTGTTGTACACTTCTTTTTGGTTACATGACTGTATGTGCTCAGAGCTGTATGCTAAAAGGGGCAAATTTACTCTGTATCTTAATAAAAATATCATCTTAATTTTAAAATGAAATAAACAAAATGTCATTAAAAAATTATGTCACTCCTCTCTCCAGAACAATCCACTGTCTTACTCTGAATGAAAGAAGCAAAGTCATTACAGCAGCTTACAAAACCCTCCATCATCTGGCTTCCTTGCAGCTCTCTGATCTTGTCTGCTACTGCTTTGCCCCTCCCTCATCTGTTCCATCCATAATGGCCATTTTACATTCCTGAAATTCATCAAGCATGTCCCTGCCTCAGTGCCTTTTCATTGCCTGTTCCCTCTGTTCTTCCCCCCGTAGCAGTATGACATGCTTGTTTACTCCAATGTCATTTCTACAGTTAGGTCTTCTTTATAACCTCAGTTTACACTGGCACTCATTTTCTTCATGCTAGTTTTCGCTAATGAACATACTACATATAGTATTTTAATTTATTGTATACAGTTTCTGTCTCTCTCAACCAGAGAGGGCAGGGCTTATTGTGGGTTTGTTCACAGCTGTATCACATGCACCTACAACAGTGCTTCACATACAGTAGTACTAAGTATTTGTTGAATAAATGAGTTGAGATATGAAAGAGCCATCACTTAACCAATGCTCTGTATTCAATATCACTTGCACTCTTTTAAACCACACTAAATTCAATCACCATAATTATAAAACAAGTGGGCCTTTATTCTAATTCCACTTTTATGAGAAAGAAACTAATGATGAGGAAAATAATTTTTAGGAAGATATTTATAAAAATAAGTACCAGCATTTCCTTAGAATAAACACAAAGTCAGCTGGATCCAGTAAATCACTTACCCTTAAAACATAGAACAAGGAGATTTGAGCTTTCTCCTCAGTGAAGCCTCCATTCCTGCCCCCTCCTCCCAACCACTGAGCCCTCAGAGAGGCAGTTCCCCTCAGCTTCCCACCAGTACTCCATCATTTCCACCCCCATACTTCATGCACGCTACACTTAGCACACTAAATTTTGTTTGTTTACATATGACTCACTTTCAGTGAATAAACTACTTAATGGCAGGAATCTTAAGGTTAACAAAAGTTAAATGATGTATTCTAACTGCTAGCCTAGCACCAGGCACAAAGAAGTTTAATAGATGTTCATTGAGTGGAATGTAAATGAGTTGTCTGAAGTCATGAATTTGAAGGCTTAAAAACTGTGAATCATCGAAGAAATGCTAAATGGAGTTGATTCTACTATCCAGTTACAGATACAGACATAGATATGTGTTGAAAAGAGTCTCATTGACTGTCCTGAAACCACAAAAGTGATCTGGTTAAGTAACCCAAACACCATTCCTAGAGTTTTCTGCTCAATCAATATTTTAGTAGACTTTATCTCAGATATGAGTTTCTCTTTTTAATGAAACTTTGAGGAGGGGAAGAACTGGACAAGGTCAGTACTGAAGTCAAGAAAAAACAGTTAATAATTCTTTTTTTTATAAAGTCTGTTATAGGAATTGCTTTTGAGAAAACAATAAGAAAGCCATGAGCAAAGCTATCACCTTATACTTGGGCTGACTTCGTTTGAGTTATCAGTTTCTACTTTGACAGAGATAGGATTCAATAAGAAGGTGCACGTTTCACTACTGAAAGTCGAAAGTCAAGCATAACAGAAAAGAAGTAATTTAAGTTCTAACTGCTTCCATTGTGGTTCAATCCTGTATAATCGCTTCCTAATTGGTTTTTTCCCTTTCAAACTCCCCAACAGCCTATTTAAACTGCTTTCATATTGATCTTTCTATTGCAGAGATGTGATAATGTTTCTCCAATACTCCAAAACCTTACAATGTATATAATTATCAAGTCACTATGTTGTATATATGAAACCAATATAATATTGTATATTAGTTTTATTCCAATAATAAAAATTGTTTTAAAAACCCTTAAAAACAAAGCCATACTTTCTGAAGGACTTGATCTAAACATCTTTCAAAACAGGACTCTTTGGTAGTGTGATCTCATTGCACATTTTCATCAGTATAGTCCATGATGCTTCTATGTGCACATTGCACAGGAAATAAACTGGACTACTCACTTATTCTTCAATCACACCCCATGATTTCTTCCTCTACTCCTTTGTTTAATTAGCTCTCTCCTCCTGGAGTACCCTGTTCTCACAGTTATCATTCACCAGCTCCTCATCCAGTCATCTCAAAAAGCCTTTCTTGATTCCCTGCAATCTGCTGGGTTCTCCCTCTTCTCTAAACTGTCATCAGTCTCTACACCTTCCTCACAGGTCTCCAGCTTGTATCATAGTTGTTTGTATATTTTTTTTATACTTTCCTTCTCATCCCACCCTTGTCTGGTTTCTTAAAGTCTGACACTCAGCTCTAGCTACTTTCATTTACTGCAGGTAGTAGCATCGAACATTTTCTACACCATGTGCTACAGCAGTTTCTTGATTTATAAAGTTGACTAAATATCATGAGAGACACTGTGGAAACATAATTGTTGATCTGCTCGGCAGCCAAAACTCAGTTTAGGCATCCTCAAGAAGTTTCCCAGAGCTCTTTATTACAGGGATCTGTATTAGAGATAACGATGCCTTGTTTTTATTCTCCCTCAAAACTCTTTGGAAAGGGACAGTGGCAGAAAAAAACGTCCTTTGAAGAGTACTGGACTAGGTAAAAGGAAATATTCTGGGCACTGCCATTTAGTTATTCTGTGTTTCATCTGGAAGATCAATCTCTGGATTAAGTATCTTTAATGTTTCTAGCACTACAGTGTTTTAAATAACACCATGTTATAATCTGGAAGACGGCACTACTCAGTTACACTAATTAGCACAGAAACTGATAAGCAGAAAACATACATTTCCAACAGAAAAATAGGGTTTCCTTATATCCTTTTTCTGAAGACAGGAGACATTACAACCACACTGTCACTCAGTTACTATCTCTGCCATATAATTTCGACATGTGTCACACAGGGTAGACGTCCTACAGATTGCTGCAATGTGAACTCCTTAAGGGATTCAAATAATTCATACTGAGAGAGTTATTCTTTTGTTGGGAGTTTATGGACTCTAAATTTTAAAGGTAGTATATGAATACTGTGCTTTCATTCTAGGTAAATAAATTAAGTCACAGATTTAATCAAGTTCATTTTTTAAAGGTAGAAAAGTTGGCATTCAGAATGTTTCACATAGGATTCACAGTGCTTCAAACAAAGGTCAGTGTTCAGAGAAAATCAGATGACACAGGCATTGTTTCTTTAGTTCTTGATTCTACTCATGATTCCTCCTGGGAAAACCTGTGGCTCTACATATCAATTCAGGGGTGAATTTTTTTTAAAAAGATGTTTTCTTTCTACTCTGCTCTCTATTTATTCATATTTTATAAATATTTGGAAGTAATTTTACATCTGTGTCTGAACATTAAAAATACAATGTTGTCTTAACATACAATATAGTTTTGCAAATTATGCATATAAAATAGTACTACTAGGAAACTGCTTTTAGGACTACTAATTACCTGCCTTAAAGGAAAACAGAATTATAAAATAATAAAGCTGATTTTAAATTGTGCATAGAACCAGTAATTGTGCATTTAAGGCAATTTAAAAGATTTATTGACTCTTGGTTAAAAGTAGATTGACAATGACATTAAAGAATAAAGTGTAATTTATTTGGTGCTACGTTGCGAATGCTTCTGAACTACAAGTCATCCCACACCACCATATACAATATACTTTCAATCACAGTCAAACATAAAATAACCTACAAAACACATGACTACATTCCACATACAGTGATTCTATTTTTAAAAGAAAGTTAGCAATTAAGTCAAGGTGCAGTATCTTTTTCCAAATAAAATATTAGCACCATTCAGATAGCATGATCTTAAACTATTGGCCTTCTCATACTTCTTAAATAACTAAATATAAACTTTTTTTCAAAGCACAAACATTAATTTGCAAAATCAGCTCTATAGTAGTTAATCTCTCTCTTCTTTTGCATTTCCCCCCAACACCCTCCGCCCCCCAGTACGGAAAAATAGGAAGTAGAAACTTTTCACGGATATGAAAATCAGACAAATGCACGCATCCAGCCAAACCACAGGCTGTGCTTCAGCAGTGCGTCCCGACCGAAGCGAAGGTGGACATCTCCCGGCGAATGGTGCTGAACGGGGAGAGCTCCAGTTCCGTGGTGTACTCGTCATTGTCATCACTGGTGGCCGCGGAGGACTTGTGCGAGCACTCCTCACAGCAACAGCAGAAACATTCCAGGAAGGCCCGACTGAAGGGTTTGCAGAGGCAGAAGAGGAGGACAGGCGTGACGCAGGACTTGAAGAACAGAAGGAACTGGCTGATGATATTAAGAAGGTCCATTGTCTGTTGGGAAACCCCCGCAGCCATGTACGCAGTAACGATGTTGCAGATGTTTTCGGGAATAATGCAAAATCCATATAAAATGGTCAAAGCCACTACTGTACAGTTCATCTGGCTTTCCAGCTGGATCTGCCGCTTATTGCCTCGGGTACAGGCTTTCTCAGCTTTGCGGATTTTCCTTGCAGTCACTAAAGAGCAGGTGATGGTGAAAAGTGTGGGCAAACAAAAGTAACAGCCAAAATACCACCAGAGTCTGGCGCTGTCGTAAGTAAGGGCCAACACGTAGATGGTGTCCGGTAAATTGGGAGACACCTTTATAACGCAGCGCTCCTCGGGCGCGCGGCCACTGAACCCCAAGTTCTCCTTGCTCAGCTGGCGGAGAACAACTTCTGGAAGTGCCAACAGCAGAGCGCCCACCCATATAACAGCGAGTTTGGCCGTTGTCGACGAACAGTTCTCGATCATTTCGTAATACATCTGTACGTTGGTGGCCGCGCGGAAGCGGTCTATACACAGAGCGCATAAGGTGAAGGTAGTGACGCCCAGAGAAGCCACCTGTGGGAGGAACACAGAATGCATTTAATCTGGTCACCTCGGAAAGATCAAGCACTAGGCAGTAACACAACCAGCAAAACAGTAAAAAAAAGAGAGAGAGAGAGCCAGAGGGGGCCATTTCCTGGGTCTATGACTTCAGCTGACAATAGGAGGAAAAAAATTAGTAGTTTAGGGCCATAGAGTTAAAAAGTTTACAGCTTGAAGGATCCGTAAAGGTCAGTTAGTCCAAGTCCATTCTACTGTAGAAAAGGGCATAGAGACCCCAAGAATTTCAGTCACATGAAAATGCCTGCCAGGAGGTATAGGTAAAGAGTGAGGGTAGTTGAGTGTATCCCATTTTCATGATGGGCATGCCTTCCACTGGGGTAGTGAGCAGTGTGCCTTACACCTGGCCAACATTCAAGAGCTCACCATTTCCAACAAACTACGTGAGTGGAGACCCCCTCCAGTTTCTCCTAAAGGCAAAATAAAGTATCTTAATGTTTTGTTCAAAGACATACACTTATTGAAAACAAGAAAGGGAAAAATTTCAGAAGTCAAAATCAATGAGAAAACAAATTCAGCGACCTCTCCCGCTGCATGTGTGCCTCGGGGGCATCCGCCTGTCCTGCTGAGACCTCCACGTTGGTTTTAGCCAGCAGGATGGGGCCAGGCACCCATGCACACAGAGGTAGGAAGCAAAGAAAGCTGGGGCCAGTGTCAGGGGGATTAGGTCAAAGATTCCCTGATGAATTTGGGACTTCCCAGACAGTGACATCTTCATGGGTAAAAAGAGAAAAAATAGAGGGAGATAGTGGAGAAGCTTGTCTACATTATAGGATTTAAATAGAGGTGAATGGAGGGAAAAAGAAAAGAAAAAGGAACAATACCAGGAGCCTGAATTTACCCTGGACTAGGGCCAGAATTCACACCATCTACAAAGCTCACAAAAGCTACACACAGAGACTTTCTCAGGAATATAAATGCATGTTCTTAACATAAACACACTGTCATTCAATAATTTATAAAATATGTATGAACATCATACACATACTTTAATGGGGTACACAGACATATATTGAACACAAGCACACATTTATTGATGTAGAATCTATGCCAAGCACTCTGCTAGATCCTGGGGATATAGAAAGGAACAGGAAACAGCTCTTGCCCTCAAGGAGGTCATAGTCAACCTAGGGGAGGGCGATTTTCAAAGCACAAGATAAACAGTGATCTTTTGGGAGCATCACATTTACTCAACTGTTTTGGGGGGACTTGAAGTGATTTCATATTTAATAAATGCAGTCGTTAATATACTTAAACAAGGACAATGGACAGAGGTAAAATGTTCATGAGGTTTAAGATAAAAGAGGAGACTAAAACAAAACTCTCTAGGTAGGTAGATGCCATGCCTTGGCAAAGGGGCAATATGTATAACACATATAGAGTGTAATGTCTAATTCTTAAAATGCAAAGGGATCTTGTTCACAAAAGGAAAGCCATTTGTCATAACAATTTTAGCACCCAAAATATTAGTTGTTTACTATCCACCACATTCAAGCTGTCACCCTCCCCAGAACAATGGCAACATGCCATGTGAATTCTGTGAGAGTTCCAATGTCAATACTCTCTCCTTTTCTTACATACCACACATTATTCAGTGCCTACTAGTTCTACTATAGAAAATAAGGACATTACATTCATGCCTCCAGCTATTCTCATAGCTATTGATAGAGACAGTCTGAAAATAAGATATAATGAAGGATTAACTGTATGAAAAGCAAAAATGAAAAATGATATGACTAACAAAGGTCCAGATCAGAGCAGATGGAAAGGTCATAGTTGAGCTTATAACCACAATTCCTGTTCTGCAAAATCTTCAGAAAGTATCCCATAAACACTAGCATGTGAAACATCAATTTGATATGACTGCCATAAATTAAGTCATCTCTACATTCACCTTGTAAAAATTAACTTTCAAATTAATGAGTTGTTCACCTTGATGGGAATTTATTTTGCATCTATGCAGGATGCTCAAAATAATTCTAACATTGAGGGCCACACTGTGACTGTCTTAAGATCAGATCTTTTTTTTTTAATGTCAATAATTGCCACACACTTTGAATGGAAATTGAGAAGGACTTGACACTTTCTAAAGGTCTACATCAAATGGTATTATTTGCAAACTGCAGTATTTTATTTTATAGATTTTTGGAACTTTGCATTTCTATATTAGTTTTTCAAATGTTTTGATTCATTTCCATGTAGGAATGTAAAACAAAAATTCTCAAACTGCCAAATGTACACAAATCTTTGGCAAGACAAGGCTCTCCGTGCCATCTTCACTAAGGCAAATCTTCATGCAGGACCCCCTGTCATGATGTAACCTGAGTTAGCCTACAAACAAGGCCATGAAGGTTTAGGCTGTATGTTCTTTTTTAATTGTTAATAACATTTCTATTAAAAGGATAGCTTGGTATTATAAAAATACTAGAGACTTGGATGCAAGTCTTAGAAGCTTGGAACAGCTTTTTTCTTGGTAGTTTTCTATCATTACTTACAAAGAACACACAGCATGTAGAAGAGAGCATCTTTTTCCTCCCTTAATGTCCCCAATTTTAAATCTAGAGATTTAAATATGGACCATTTATCATAACAGTGAGCATTTGCATAACTCCAAATCTGTCACAAAGCATTTCATGAGAGGTTAAAAGCAACTGCATGCAGGCGGACATATATTGAGATGGGTGTGTTAGATTGCCACTCCTTCGATACCATAAACTCTGCTGCACAACCACTCTTAGATGTTCCCTGCTTTGAAAGCAAAAAAAAGTGTTTTCTAGCTTCTGTATATTTTCATCTCACATGCTAACAAAGGCCAGGACAAATTTTAAGCGAGATTTACATGTGCTCCAACTTTTCACTCAGGAATTCTTCTACACTGTATTTTATTTGAAGATGTTTAGTTCTTCAGCCATATTCCCCAAAGCTTTAGTACTGAGGATCTCAAACATATTTGACATATTTTGTAATCCTCTGGATGAATCATGGATGGAGGGAAACTTCCCAGGTTTCGTAAACAAATTTCCAGACCTGCATCCAACATCCTGCAATGGTACTTCTCTCTGACAGTATTCTCTGCAATCAGGATCCGGCTGAAACAGGATGAATTGTCCGGGAAGGTCGCAAGAGCTACAGAGAGGCTTGTTAAAGGAATCTGTGGGGAAAAAAATGCTGCCCCCCGAACGCTGAGAGCGCTTACACCGCAGTTGCCAACAGCAACCGCAGCCTAAATGCCGGTTCCTGATACCTTCTATTCCTGTTACCATTGCGTGCGGAATTATAACTTCAGATATTTTTCTGTAAAGTCACTTACACACTCGGTTTTATGATGTGAAGGAGCAAGAAAGGTACAAAGTCCTTCCTCAGTACTCTCCCAAATTATTTATAGAACGCTTTAAATATTTATCAGGAATTAACTGCATACCTCAGAAAGCAACTGATAAAAAACATCTGGGTAATGAGTGGTGGGCTAATTTCTGCTGACTCAGATATGAAATCTATCCATGTAATGAAAACTGCCAAATGTTGGGGTAACGTGAAAAGATTTCTATCACAATTTTTAAATATGCTTGTTTACATACAGCTCATTAGAAATTCTACCAAGATGAATGGTGCAATTATGTGCAATTATAAAACTGTATCATGAACGCTGAATCTTCTGCATTTAATGACCATATCTGATTGCTAAAATTCAATATCACTATAAAACATGCTCTTGGGAGTAAAGCTGTTAAGTGTTAGCTTAGATGGGTAGTTCTTTGAAGCAACATCCTGAGAGATGCAATGAGAAAGATGCATCTCTTATTAATTAACAGCAATGGGAGGAATAATTAACATCGACAAAAGCAGAACTGTAAACACCTTTAATAGACAAAACTACTAAATTGGAAAATCAAGATCAGAGGAAAGCTGGAAGCAGAAATTTTTAACTGTTTGGGACAGTAAGATACTGCATTTTGGGGGCATCAGCATCAAAATACAGAAGCCAGAGAATCAAAACAAACAACTCTGAAAGTTTTGTTTCAAACAGCATTGTTTTCTCTTCTTTGTATCCCTGAGTAACAAGAGTAAGCTCCTTCAGCCCCTGTCCTGTCAACACCCAGAACAGTGAGGCTTCGGCAGCTGCAGGCACATGCAGAGTTGCTTCAAGGTTCTGGACGAACGCAGAAGAGACCTGAGCACTCTTGGTGGAAACGCGTCTGCCGGGAGCCACAGCGTTCTCCCCACTGCTTAGGTTTCTAATTCAATACAAATAAAAAGTCCTCAAGGAAACCTGGGCTTCATAGTCATTCGTACTACATTAAATTCCTCTTCATCCTAATACTACGAAGAAAGAGCACATGGATACTACAAAAAATAGTGCTCCATGAAGACCCTGTCTTAGCTATTGCTGCATTTCTCGGAAGCTTACTGCAGACATGCAGATAAAATTCGCAGTAGGAATGAATGAGAATAGCTATGAAGGAACAACTCGTACCAGATAAATAGTACCTTTTACCAAACCTTCTGGTATAAATCAGTGATAATACTGATGAAGAGGAAAAAAACTACCAATGTACTTCCAACCAAAGTTTCTTCACATGGTATTCAATCTGCACGCATAAGTACAGTGGAACAATGGGAACAAATAGATTTTTGTAAACTAAGGGATTTTCTAACCAGTCATGACAACTGTACTCCTGCCTTACGATTTTACCTCTAAAAGATGTGTAAGTACATCTATTTCTGGGCTGTCTTTGTTTACAAGCAACTCTCAAAAGAAGGGCAGTATTGTTAAGAAACCCATTCATTTGCACCATGAATGATAATCTATTGTAAGATTGTGCTTACAGGCCTATCAGTCAGGAAAACAGCAGGAGGAGAACTGGGTAGGGTTTCCTTTGAAACACTGAATGACTTGAGCGGGTATGCCTTTGGCTTCTTGCATTTTCCATCATCCTTATCCTTGCAGCACTTCA